AAAAGCAGCATTGTCACCATTTGTTTACAAATCAAATCATTCAAGGTAAAGAAAACAAACCCATCAAGTAATCATGTAACCAAAAGGAAAACAGAACAGATTAATACAATATACACATTGCACATATCTAATCTCAGTTGTGGTTTTTAAAGCAGCCTAGGTAGCTTTCCCCTCTGCCAGATACTATGAGGGCCCTGAGAAAAAAAAAAAAAAGTTATTTTTCCAGCAGACATGTGCAGAGCAGACTAAAAGTAGACCTGGAGGAGAGAAATTAACAAGAGAACATCTGAACTGAAGGTGTTTTATACCAAAGTTGTAGCTTATGTTTCTTTTCTACAGCTGCACAAAGCTACATCCTTTCCAAAGCTTCAGCATTTTTGTGTTTGTAATCAGTTAGGAACAAAAATCTTTAAACTCTCCTACTATAATCTAACCATTTGATGCCTTCTGAATTCTGCACATTGTCAAAAGTAATACAATCCCACTCAGCCCAAATTAACCTACCATTTTAACACTGCAGCTGGAAATTTGTAAGGACAGAAACAATCAATGGACTGATGTGCCAGAATTCCAGTCTTCTCCTCTTGGATGACAAAATGTGGAGGAATGACTGTGTCTCCTCAAACTTTCCACAAAGAAGTTCGTTTATTTCTTTGCCATTTGTTTTCTGAATGAAAACATCATATGTGCCACAGCCTGTGGCACATATGATGAAACTCAGGGAAAGTGCTGATCTATGATCTATTTACTAATACAATTCAGCAAACCAGTGCTCTGCTCAAATTTAACCTGAGAGTATCACAAAATTAGTCTCGGTGACCTTACAAACACTGCTTCCTTCAGGTTCATCCCTGGAAGTGTCAGGCTGAACAGCATTCCTGGGAGATGTGCTATCTTCTCAGCTATCTGAAGACCAAGATCAATTTACATGACCAAAATGAATCATTGTCTTCGCTGCCAAACACCAAAACAGACCATTTAACATGTCTCTAACTTCCCTCATTCTTGCTAATTGCCAAGGCTAAATGTAGCAAAGGTAAAGACAACAAATACAACACAGCCTGTTCAAGGGTTATTAAACAACACAAATTCTGAGCAGAAGTGGGATTTCCCAATCATCTTTAAACACCAGCCATCTCAAGGAAGATGGTGAGAAACCATTGCCTATCTCAAACACTTTTATAACCAGCATTGAAGTTGCATCCTATACCACCTTACAACACAAAACATCTTTATCCTGAGCAATATCCCAGTGGTACCTGAGGGAAGGTGCTTTTGCATCTGGAAGCCAAGGCTCCTACCTACAGTTTTGTAGATGGAAGTCTAAGGCACAGACTTAAACAACCTGTTCCAAGCCTCCCAAGAAGCCTGGGGTGGACCATGGAACTGACTTGCCTCTTTAGCTAGGAATATGAAGACACCACTGTGCTCCCTCCCATCAGACACCATGCACACCAGCCCCAAGCAGCTGAGATGAACTTGCCAACTTCATCCCAAACTTGTGGGAAAGCTCATGTCTTCCTCAAGAAGACAAAATACCAGAGATATCTGAGTACTCTGTCTCACAGAAAAAATATAATGTGTCCAGGAACAGTAACTTCTGCAAATTTAGGTGCTAGGGATGAAATTACTTTTTCAGAGTTGTCACCCACAAAGTAGTTTCTTTTTACCCTTCCTGACATCTGCTGTAAAAAAATAAAAACATAAGGGGGGACATAGCAGGCTTTAAATGCTAATATATTATATAAAAAATATCAAAACCAAACCACAAACCACTTGCTATTTGTGCAGTATTCTAGAATCAGAGGTCTTGTTTAGACAGATAAACCCAGAGGGTGATGACAAAGCCCTACAAAGAATGTCACCTTGACTTCAGACAGGTCCTTGACCTCTAAAAGAAAATAGGAAACCCCAAAAAACCAACAAAAATAAATCATTCTCAACAAAGTAAAACCACCTTTAATTAAATTCCTACATAAAACAACATTTCTATGCAGAACAACTGTTTAGTCAAAAAGTAAATATATATGTTTAATTCTCTTTCAAATGTCAACACGAATTGAGAGCTACCAGTGTTCCTTGGAGAACAAGCAGTAGTTAAAACCTCTCTTGCTGATGTTCAGAAACAGTATGTTACATCTTTTAACCAGCAGTTCCCTATTGCACGTAACAAATTTGCTCTCCATTTAAGCACCTAAAAGCCTGGTACCTCACTAAATAAATTAAAATAAATCCAGTTTCTTCAGCAACCATCTTCAACATATATATCCTGGTAAAGCAATGTTGCTGCAAGCTTTTAATAAATACACAGAGGAAAGATCAGAGACTTCACATTGGTGTTCTGTGGAATGATCTTTTCCCATAAACACTTGCTTTTCCAAACATTTGGGGTTTTTGGTATGTGTGCTCTAAAAATCACTATGTGTAGTATGTTTTATGAAAATGTCCCTTACTTAAGTCAGTACATTTGCAGGGAACAATGAATCCAAGACATGAATTTCAGTGTAAGGCTGTAAGGAGCTTCTTGCTGAACCTGAAACAAATGTGCCTCTCGAGGAGCTGAAGGCAAAGCCTCAGAGGCTGAGTGGGAGACCATTCCAATGAGGGATTCTCAGACATGTTTGGAATTGGCCTAACCTTTCTCTTTCTGAAGGGTTTCTTGTGTGTGTGCTGTGTCAGAGGAACAAAACTGTGCAACCCTGAACATCTGGATGCCGCATCATCCTCAAAGGTCTCCCCATCCTTCCCCACACCATACAGACATCTACTCTTCTTTCAGCAGCAGCATGAGACATGAAGCAGTTCCCTGCAGTACAGTGATACTGTGGTTGCTATTTACAGTAGAATTAATGCATCTGTGCCAGTAGGGCAGAGGTCATATGAAAAATATACACAATATGGTCACTTTTAGCCAGATTAGGATATAAAAAAAGAATTTACTCTTTAAGTCCCAACTTTAAACAAAGAACAGTTCTGTCAGAGGTCTTCAAACCTCCTGAGGATGTTAGAGTACATTACCCTAACGTATAAAAACAATTATTTACACCTCCATAAAGTACCAAAGAATTTTTAAAAATGCCTAGTAGCTCTCAGCGTGCAAAGTCAAAAAAAGATTATCTAGTCACTATTTGTAGAGACAGTCTTGAAATCAAGCATTCAGAAGCAGAGTGCAAAAGACTCAGGAATCATTTCAGCCCATTTCTTTTGTTCTTGTTTTCTTTTCTTGTTTTAAATCAGTCTTGTTGGTCCATACAACAGAGACCCTTTCAAAACACTTATCAAGGTAACCTTCAGCTTAGTGCAAATGCAGAAATCTTCTAGGATCTGTAATCTTTTCGAACAGTGTGAGCCATCCAGTTCACTTTAGTAGTCCAACTTTCCCGGAGTGCTTCGTCAAACTTTTGCTTAAACTGTTTTAGTGCTTCTTCCTCACTCTTCCCCAAGGCCAGAGAGTCCTAAGACAACAGGAAAACAAGTACTGTTAGGAATTTTAAAAAACACAGTTAAAGCCTCCTGCACATTTCAACACAAACCACATTTTGTTTTGAACTCTTTTTCACCTATTATTCATTGAGCAATACATCCGTGGTATTTTCTAGGTTTAAAGATCAAACTGAACAAGAATTAAGCAAATAATTTTCACATTTACAGGTCTGTGGTTGCACATGAGCCAAGATGTAAAACACCCCTAAGACGACTACATATAAGGTCACAGAATCAAAGAATTTTAAGGCAGGGACACCTCCCACTAAACCAGGCTGCTCAAGGCTTTATCCAACCTGGCTCAGAACACTGTCAGGGTTGGGTCATGGGTGCTGAACTCATCAGGGCACAGCTGAAAGGAAGAGTTTCCTTTGAGCGCTAGGACTGACTACAGACCTCGTTCTACAAAGCTGAAAGAGAAAGCTTTGAGGACCGTGTGGAAATTTTGACAAAAATGGCAAACAATTAAAATGCATTTATATTGGAAACAAAATTCACATCCTTGAAAAACACTAAGTCCTGCTGAGCTATAAATCTCACTTTACCTTGAGATACTGGATGTCCTTGACAGAGGTTAGCTCTGGAAGCCCTGCAGTTAGCATCAGTGCAAAGAGTGTAATAAATAGGTTTCCGTGCTTGCGCAGAATCAAGTATGCTTCCTCACAATACTGCCGGAACCTGCGTGGCCAACCCCACGGCACATGCAATGAAGACAACACATGAGAACGTCCATAGATGACAATACATGTAATGATTTCCAAAATTTGTTACCTGGTCTAACACATAGCTCATAGGAACACAGTAACAGAAAGGACAGACGCCTGCAGAACCTCCAATGCATTCTCACAACCATATCTCAAACCTCTCCAACAAGCCCTTAAAACATTGCTACCAAGGACCATAAGCTGTTCTGCAGAAACAACAAAAATGCCAGTGTTCCATTCCCCTTAAGAATTTGTTAGGTGAGAGGCCCTGATGATCCTTATAGACTGCACCTACCCAAAGCTCTACAGCAGACCCTCTACAGCAATCCAGCCTGTCTCTGTCAGGTCATTCCTTCCTTCAGACACAGGTCAAAATTGAACTGACCGCCAGATCTGGCTGGATTACATGGCTCTATGTGCCAAAGCAGCCAAGCAGGGCCAGAATGGGTTAGCACAACAAATGTGCACTGCTGGACAGGAAGGGCAGAAAGGAACCTGTTCCTAAGGCCAGTGCTTCATCTCGCTTGAACAGTCTGTGACATCCCTGCCTAGTGCCCAGTGCTGCTGAAGGCAAAAAGAGATGAGCCCAGCAGAACCTGCCACCTCCTGCTGTGGGAGATTGAAACAAACTGCATCCTCCCACTGCAGAGCTGCAGCTGCTGCTGCTGAACTCACCTGTAAGGACATTCTAGCTCAGGTGGAGCAGCAGATAGTACTATAAATGCATGTTAGCACACTTCCACACAAGTGAAAATGAGCAAACCAAACCCAGAGAGGTTCCTGGTGCGGTGGAAATTATCACCAGAGATCATCTCAGTTACAAAGAGATCAAAATAATACTCACCGACCAAATTTTTCAGTGTTCCCTGTTTTTCCTTGTTGAATAACATGAATGAAATCGTAGGTGAGTATGAAAGGTACCCGTTCCCTTTTAATTCCGAACTTGGACTTAAAGTTCCCAAGAATATGCCCAAAATCTATATGAAACAGCTAAAAAAAAAAAAAGACACAACACAACCAGAAGTGAAAATTGATTTCTCCAGTGGAATATGTCAATTCTCTAACATTTCTACAGGATGCTGGTACCAAGAACAGAGAACTCCTAGTGCAACTCTCCACAGCCCATACTTTCAGCCCTTTAGGAGATTTAGTTTTAAAACATTTCAAGATTTAAAGTCAGTCATAACATCCACACTTATGAGTAACAACAACAAGCACATCAGTGTGCAAAAGATATCTCAGGTTTAATCTGCTGTTGTCTTGTTGGCAGTATCAGTCAGAAAAATGAGCCGAAGGATGAGCCCATGAGGCTCAACATCATTGTATCCAAGGGCTTTTCTTCATAAAGACAGAGGCAAATCTAGCAGGACTAAGTTAACCTCAAGGAACTTGTGGCAGTTCCCCCATACTGAAATCAAAGACAAGGGCATCTCAGCTTTCTTCAAGTAGGTACAGACTTACAAGAATACTGCAAATGTCTACAAAACTCTCACTTGTATAACCCTTGCTAGTTTTCTAGGCAGAATAATTTCAATTAAATCAGACACTTTACAGCAGAAAGTCACATTGAACAGGAAAATATATTTCTAAGAGTTCCCCCAGGTTCTAGGTGCACAGCACTTTGCTGGTACTGGGTTTCATACTGACCATTTCTGCAGAGCTGAGCTGTGAAGACTCACTTCAGGGAAGCTAGAGTGCTCCAAACTGCAATTCATGTATTTTTTAGGATGGTCTTTTGCAAGATACTCTGACTACTTTTATTCAATGAAACTGAACCAGTAACAAGCCTTTTGGATGTTCTGAAAAAGCTCCACAGAACAGCCTCTCTTGATAGAGAACTGCTTACTGAGCAGGCTTTGGTCTGTCCTTCCACCAGCATTACATTTCCTTTCCTAGAAGTTCTCTTCAGGAACAGAGACATGTTCTAACCATGTATGCACTTAATTTCACTAAGACACAAAAGAAATTACAAGTTCTCAAGATAGTTCTTGTACACCAGAGATACCATAGTTAGTCTGCCTAAGAGAGGGATTTTTACCTGCCCATTTTTTCTGACCATGATGTTGTCACTGTGCCTGTCACCAATTCCCAACACATAAGTAGCTACACAGTAGCCAGCACAAGACAGAGTAAATTCTTCAATGGCTCGATCCAAGTCATCTCTGTAACCACAAAGACAAAGGATATTAGTGCACACAATTGGTAATTCATGCCATGTCTTGACCTCAAATAGGACATTTGCTTGTTTAAACCTGAAGTCCATTAGGATGCTATAAAACTAGACCTAAACTTGAGAAAAAGTACTGTAAAAGTAGCTATGGAGAACAGGCAATATGAAAGGCAACAACATTAAGACTCGAGACCTATATAGTTTTCTTGGGTTTGTTTGCCTAATGTAGTATAACTTACTCAACAACATGCACTCAAAATGCTGCAAAGGCCAAGTCATTGTTTCAATTCCAAGGGTGCCATGACCCTGAGTCAGAATTTGACATACTAGAAAAATAAATAGCAACAAACCTGCCAGAAGAGCCACACCTTCCTCAACGCAGAAAGAGAAACTGAGAGGAATTTTGTAGCTTATACTATAGCTGAGAGAATAACTGGAGAAATTACCCTAAGTTGTATTCCTTCAGCCAGTTCAAGAGTGCGTCCTTGTTGAAGGCAGCAGCAGCAGCAACATTGCTGCTATTTAACTGAATGTCAGCAATGGTTTCTGAACTAGAAACAGCCTCAATAAGGCCAGAGTGATCTCCAGTTGCTAAACAGCCATATGGCAATATCCTGAAACGAAACACAGAATCATGTTAAAGCTTAAAATAGCAAAATGTTTCTGTAGTGCATCAGTTTTTGGAGAAGGCTGAATACTCACACTCACGTGAACAGGAAACTCTGGAAGGCTAACATAGAGGAATTGCTTGCACAGTTCAAATACCAGCAATACATTTCAAATATGAATTTGCGCTATTACATACATATACGTAAACAAAAAACATTATAAGAAGCCTAAATTTTGCTTTTCCTCGAACTCAGTTGCTTGTAATTTTCGAGGACGACCCATAGAGGGAGCTCTGTGTTCGCATGTGTTCATTCCTGCCTGGGCAGACACTAACACTCCTGCTCATTCCAGATAAATCATCCCTCTAAATGGAAAAGAGGATCTTATCCTTCTCTCTCTTCTTCCTACTTCAACTGAAAATGCTAGAAATCCTTCTAAATATAAACATAAACAATGTTCTCGAACTCTTACTAAATTTTAGCATAGAAACCCAATGGAAATCAGGAACACATCTCTTAACTCGCTGGTATCCAAGATTTTTGTATTGTACTGAGCAGAAATATCTCCAACAATATCATGGCATTACAGTAAGACACAGTTAAAGATATGAATCAAGGAGAGATGTGTCTAAATAGATATGTGCATTTTTTCCCAATGTTTCTTCATTCCAGATGCTTAAAAGGCTAAACAGAATGCCAACTTCCCGTAAGATTGGGAGCTCAGTGTGTGCAATGGAAGCTTACAGAAAACTCTTCAAAGCCACTGCATCACAAGTTGAGGTGTCTACTCTCATGCCAGGCATCTCAGGTCAAGGATATTATCTCAGGTGTGGCCGTGGATCCATGGATAAGAGAATGGATGCCCACACAAATCTAACTGCAGTACACAAGCTATAGACTAGCAGTCACTAACTTACCAAGCTGCATAAAAAAGTTGCAGGACATATTAAAATTGATCCATGTGCAGATATATATACATACATACACATACATACATATATAAAAAAAAGAAAAGCACTGCTGGGGGAGCTGTCATTAGTAATTATATAAAAAACAGCTGTTAAGTTAAATTGCTACAAAGCAGAACCATATCTCGAACTGACACAGCCTATTATCCCAAGCCATGGAAGAAAAATAAATAAAATTCCACACAAAATTAATCACAACTTTTTGGCATAACAGCTATCAGGCAACTGAAGAGTTTCTCTACCTCAGGGGTAACACACAACTGTGGCAGCACAAGGAGCAGTAACTATATAATCGGGGATTCTTCTTTACGGGCAACAAACCGAACTGAAAACCAGATTTAACAGGGTATTTCAAGAACACACAACTTCAAAACAACAAAAGAAGTGCAGACTTGGAACCTTCTTCCCGTTTCTATTCTAATCTGTGTCCCAATTACAATCCAGTTCCCTGGCCCAGTGGGTCTCACAATGAACAGAAGGGTGTCTGAATTCCCCAGCACCAGTGTCCACGATACAAGGAAGCACTGCCCATCCTTATCACGACACGACAAATGTAAGCCAAATATTGCCAGGTTAAAGTGCACGCTGGCCTTCTTCCATGGCAGTTCAACCCACCCTACTTGCAGCTTAACTGGGCACATGGCCAACAACTTCCCCTTCAAAAGCAAGCAATGATGAAAGCCTTCAGCCCCTTGAGGACTGTGTGCTTACAACTGGAGGAAAAAACATCCTTGTCAGAGAGACAGTTTGACAGGAGTCAAGTTAGGGACAAATCCTCTGGGCCCTTTCCATCTCATCCTGGTCTTTCTGACTTCAACATCTGTCAGCAGGATATGCTCCTGCTTTTTAAAGCCAGTAAAAACCATGGACAGATCAATACCGCAATCCTGGGCAAGAGAGAAATTTTTCTCTTTGCTCATTTTAAATTGTTCTTTATTTCAAGAGTTTAATTCTCCAAAGCAGTATCTTTCCAAACACACACCAAATTCTGGTAATTTATCAACATGTTCTCTGTAACTTCAGGTCCAATAATTTAAAAATTATGATGTTCTTCAGAGTTGTAACAAACACATTTCTCAATATGAGTGTGAACTCTGAGTTCATTCACACACAGCCGTGTAACATCAGACCTCAAACGTGTCGAGGAGGTGAAAATGAAAACCCACTATAAATAGGCACTGAAACGAAAAAGCAGTTTGGAGAACACCAAGTGACCAAGTATTAAATGCTTTTATGACAATTTACCACAGCAAAGGTGATTCAAAATAGATCAAACTCCTCAAAGTTAGGATTTTCTGTTGCCCTGTTACGTTATTAGTTTCTCCCTTAACACAACTTCGATGCTGTAATACAGGTAAAGCAGCCAAAACACTTTCTGATGCAATGATTACCATCCTAAGAGGTAGAACACCACAGACTCCACGGAATCCTTGGGAAGACAGATGTTATGCTCCTCTGCTGTGACATGTATTTGGAACAGTTAAACACTGCCCACAGAAATAGTTGGATAAGTTACAGAATATACTATAAGGATGCCCATACACATGACTACACATTCAGAATTTTTTAAGGCCAATTAACTTGAGGAGTTAGAATTTTTCAGGGGGTTTGAACCCCTGAAAGTTTCATTTTGCCACTGTGCAGATATAGCCTCAATATTAATACCACTTAACTTACTAAGTTTGTTCCCTAACTGCCCATACTTAAAGAACAAGAAACAACTAGAGAGAAACTACCGGAAAAAAAAACAGAGGAAGCTTGGCTGCACATACTTATTAATGTCTTAGGCCAACTATTTCCTGCTCAGTGTTCCAGAATCACAGAATATTCAGAGTTGGAAGGGACCCATGAGGATCACCCAGTCCAACTCTAGGCCCTGCACAGGACATCCCCAGAATCACACTATGTATCTTAGAAATGAATGGGTGTAGGTGTTAACTAAAGTATAAGCTTTTCTGGCTTTTTCTTTTCTCTCTGCTGCTTGACTGATTGAGGTTTAAGGTAAACTAACCCTGAGCCAGACTCCTCTAAATGACTGAGTGGTGTTTGTGTGGGGTGATGGCCCCTGGGGCTAATGGCTGGCTCTGCACTGGGAACCAGATGCAACCTACACCTGAAGGTTTTTACTCAGCTGTCCACAGTCCACTCAGTGACAGTCCAGGATGAAGGACCCACTGGAGCACACTGTTTCATCCTCCTGCATACAAGAATCTCCTTTTTGACATGAACCTGCTGTGGCTGTGGTTCTCAGCCAGACTGCACACATGGGAACCCAGGCAACACAACACACTGTGTGTCAAAGAGTAGTTTACCCATGATACAAATTTAGCTGACAGTTAAACAAATAAACGTTTCTCCTTCTTCAGTTTTGGGGATCTCAAAATCAATATGTATTTGGTGTTCCCCTCTAGTGCTGTGAAATCCCATTGGGTATATCATGCTTGCTTTAGACACAGATTGAGCTAAGATTTCTTTTTAAATCACTACTAAATAACTGCCTGCAGATTGCAGTGCAATTATAAGGGAACTGATCCTATCCCAAACTCCTTGATGGCAGCGTATTGGTTGTCACTTGATCCATGCTTCACAGAAGCTGCACAATTTGCTTGTGGCAAAACATGATTGATGGGAAGAGAGAGGCAAACAGCAAGTGCTTCTGCTCTGACACTGGTGGCACAAATGAAAAGCTCTGCTTTTACCTGGATGGAGTCATCAGACCGTACTGTAATGGAGAAAAGCTGAAGAGTGCAAAATCCATTATGCATCCAACAGCTTCAGGGAAACTAAAGCCTCTAAGGACAACACAGGGCAAGAAGCTAAGACTCCACTCATTGAGGTGGATGGATGACACTATTTTTCAGGAAAGCAGGTCCATTTGACACTACTTTTCCACTCAAGACCAGGCCTCTGACCCAGGCAAAACAAAGCAAGACAGTGGGTCCTGACTCATGATCGTGGCAACAGAACTCACCACCACTGCTAAATCACACATTTTGGATTTGTCTGTTCTTGTGGGACATGTAGGCTATAAACATGGAGACCACAAAGTCTCACCTTCTTAGCTGTGTCTTCATGCTCCAGGCATTTGGAGTGCTGTTTTGTCCAATTCTGTTCCCAACTAAGGCCATTTCAGAGCCATCTCTTGGCAAGTGCCTGGTTAATCTCTCTTTGACAGACACAGACCTGTAACCCTGCCTCAATCCCAGAATTTTATTTCATAATGGTAACTATGAGAGGATGAATAGAAGGAAGATGCTCCCAGTTAAGCAAATAAATGGAAGAGGCCAAATATAGAACTTCAATTCTCACTAGGAACTTCCCCTTTCTACTTTTTTTCCTTCTCAGAGTTTTAAGAAAAAAATCTTAGACATCACAGCTACTTCTTGGTTTTTCTTTGTTGAGTTTAAAAAAAATGTCTTAGTCAGGAACAGCATATTTGATGACTCTAATCACTATTCCTGTTTGCTAGGCACAGTGTGTGGCCCAGGCTGGATCCACAAATTAAGCTTCTGGGAAGGCAGCAACCACAGAATGCCTCATCTGGGATTCCACAGCTGCCAGAGGTTGTCCTTGCCCCTAAATGCTGCATTGGTCTCCTCACAGTCTATTTATAAGGACATAAATTATCTAAAGTTTCCTCAAGTCAGTGTTCAACTTAACACCCACTTGGCCACCTCGTTGCAAACATACACTTCCAGAAAGAACTTGCAATTCACATTCCTACCTTTTACATAAGCAGCAGAAGCAACAAGTTTATAATTTCACTTATCTATGCTGATGTTATGTGCCTTATGTAGCTCCCACTATTATGCTTGAACCACAAAACATTTGAAATGAACTCAAAGAATCTTAATGAAGTATTTCAGGTAATATTTAAATAAGTACTTCTAGACTTGTTTATAAGTTTTTTTAAAAAGTGTTTATAAGGTTTTCTCACACTTAAAAATTAAACAGAGGATTATAGCTCTTGCACAGGCACACAAAAATGAATTTATGGCGTTGGTGTCTTCTTTAGGGTTACTTTTCCAAAAAGCAATTAGAATTTGAGAATTATGTTAGCTAAAACTGGTGCATAAATTTGGGTGGAAACATTCCCCATACACTAGAGGGTTGTATAATAACATTCAACAGTGTCTGATACTGTTTCACTTTGGAATACTCGTAGTATTCCTACAAAGAAGTCATGCTTACCTTAGCAAGCATATGAAGGTAAGAAAGCAGCTTTGCAAGAGACTTTGGAAGCTACAAAAATATTTCTGGCCTGAAAACTGTGTTCTGACATCCAAACAGTGTTTTATCAACAAACGAATGCAAAGTGGAACTTCAGAATGTACATTGAAATGTTCACAGCACTCTAAATCTCAGTGTAAGCAGAGATAAGAGGACTGCTCCAAGCAGGAAGGAGCTAAGGCAACTGCTTTCCATGGCCTGTTGGCTTTGGCTATGACAACTGAGACCTCTGGACATCCATACAGATGTTTAGAAAGAGGACAGTAGGGATACTTAAAAAAAGCTTTACTTCTAAAAGTAGATTCCCCATCCAAATGAACTAGCCCTCAAGAGATCCTTACCGGAGATCCAGACCAGCTTCTTTCCAAAGTATGTCCATCAAACGCAAGATCTGGAGCGTCAACATGTCCTGTCGGAGATCTGTAAGGAAAGGGTGAAACTGCTGCTTCAGTTTCTCAGTGTGTTGCATAAAAACCTCCTAATGTTTTCTTCTAAAAGTAGATTCCCCATCCAAATGAACTAGCCCTCAAGAGATCCTTACCGGAGATCCAGACCAGCTTCTTTCCAAAGTATGTCCATCAAACGCAAGATCTGGAGCGTCAACATGTCCTGTCGGAGATCTGTAAGGAAAGGGTGAAACTGCTGCTTCAGTTTCTCAGTGTGTTGCATAAAAACCTCCTAATGTTTTTAAGGCCTTCAGAAAAAGGTATCTAAAAATACTCATCAAGCCAAACAGTTAAAGTTGTATTAACCACAGTTACATCACCATGACTGGCCATGTCTGTACTTTGAAATTCTGTCAGAAGAAGGTGCTTAATTTGTTTACCAGTGTTAGAGTAATCCATGTTTATGTTATGGCAACAGAGAGAAACAGACCTTAAGTCCAAGTGTGGCAGTGAAGAAGGAAAAGGAAAAATTTTAAGTTTTCAGCATTGCTTACCATCACCATTTTTAAAAATGATACCCACAAGATCTCCTCCAAACATTTTGTTGTTATATACTATCCATAGAGGCTTCATTTTAGAATCCATATATCTACACTTCTCAACACTAGAAGAAAATACAACAAAAGTTTTAGTCAAATAAGAATAATTGAACTGAAAAGGTCTAAAAATGGTTCGAAACAAACAGAACACATAAACTTCCCATTTGGAAGTACTTAAATGCTCTCTCTGCTTTCATTTTGCTGCTATGCTACGAACACTTACCAAGCTATGAACATATCTGTTATAGATGGAATGTATTTGGTACTGTGAATGGCACACACATATCTAATGCTTAAACCAAACACCCTCATTTTCTGGAAAAAAATAGGTTTCTTTATATCCTTTCCCATCAATTTTTAGATTTTATATTCAGGTGCTACAAAAAGCTTTAATGGCTTTTGTGTTTATTGTTGTAAATAGAAGGAAGGAATGCAGTCTAGTTCACTGCTAGGCTTACATGTAACTACATTTAGCTATGGCAATGCATTGACATAAAGAGTATTGTTTCATGGTGAGTCATAAAAATCTTCTAACTTAACTGATATCTTAACCTTAGGAAGATTTCCAGCAGTTCCCCATGACAGCACAGCTGCTGAACAATGCAGCCAGAGGAAGTTCACACACTGTTTCTGCTTTACTGTTTCCATGCAAAAGCTACAGTGAAATTGTATTCACTCATTCATTACTTACTGCAGTTCTGAAAGTATAACAGAAGGATTCAGAGGAGACTGAAGGTCAGAAAGTGCTTCTCTGTAAGCATTTTGTTTCAAACACGTATGCATTGCATCTTTTCCTTTTGCTTTGCTTTGCTTCATGGCATTCAGCTTAATTAGACTATTTAAAGTCTTCATTTTATTAAGGGCTTCCACCTGAAAGAGATATTTCATCTTTGAGAGCTATTGCTCCGATTTGACGCATAATACAATGTAAAACCCCATTTCAAAACAAAACAAAGTATTAAATAATTTTACAACTTTTTAAAAATGGAAATAATAGATGGCAGTTAAATCACTCATGTTCCAGAAATACCATTTTCATAATTAACAGAGACAGTGATGGGATGAAAAGCTTTGAGTCATTTTTAAACTCATGACTTAACATTTCACAAAAAATTAATGAGGCATTTTAATGTATATCTTGACACAAATCCCTTCTTCAAAATACAATTTTAGTGCCCTATTTCAACAAATCACATAACATTGGTGCCTTCGTCCATACTGAGGTCAACAGAAACACCAACTGCTTTATACCTCTAAAAAAACCAGATACTGCTTGAGATGAGCTGTATTCACTGCACACCTTCAGTTAATTGCATCCAATATGACATGGCCATGTGAGCACTCGTAGGCAATTTCACAGAGCAGAGTTTTAAATGTTTGTCATTAAAATCCAGCTGAAGTCATGCATACAGCAAAAACTCTAATCAACTTCCAAATCCTAGCATCTCATCTAAGCAATACTTTCACCTTAAAAATGTCTAAAATGTCAAGGCAGTTATTTGTAATCATACAGGTGAATTCACACCCTTTTTTCCCCTTCTGTTTTGGAAGATTTTCTAACGATACATAAATTCTAAGAAAACCAGTGATGTAAATGTACATAATGCTGCCAGAGCAAAGCCCTTTGGTAACAAACCTGGAGACCACATGCAACAAATAGACTTTCTGTAAGCAACCTACTGTCCAAATAAAAATAGTCCTTGCAACAATCATCTGTGTTTGCAGCAGCCACAGTTAATGTGCTCAGCAATACAGATCTTTAGCTCTTTAGCAAACAGCATCAATGCAATAATTATGAAAGCTGATTTCTATAGAAGGAAGCTTTGGTCTAACTTACAAGGTGCTGAGTCAAAATTTACCCCTCCCACAGACATGAACCCTGTCAGGCAGGATGCTGTGGAAATTGTATGCAGTTTGATTATAAAACTGGGCAATGGAGACCTGCCAGGTCAGCCATCTGTCAAAACCAAAAGCTCTCTGCTTTTCCACTATTCTAGGAGCTGTACAAACATCAGTGACAAGGGAACAAAATGGAACCTGTGTTGTACAAACAGGAACTTTTTGAAGTATTTCTACTTTGAATTTCTTCCGTGTTTGCACAGTTGGGAATTTTTTTGCCCCTTCTTTGATTGTCCTGACATTTGCTTCCTGTAAAGTGCACAAAAACTTTACTGACCTTACGTCTATTGCTTAAAGCATTTCACCACCTAATCTTTTTATGATTTTGACAATGCTAACAAGCATACATATGTAAAAGCTGGTCTCTTCCACACCCTGTGAGCTGCAGCAATGAAGGGCACAAGAGAACATTCCTGTTCCATATGCCTCTCAAAGCACAGTCACAATGCAGACAAACACTACTCATCAGTTAGTCATCCACTTTGTGAGTAAGTCTTTGTGGCCTGATACAGTAAATACATTAGCTCCAGGGAGAGATCATTTTTCAAATATTTTTATGCTCCCCATCTAAATTAATTCAGTAAAAGTGTACTAGAGACTTCAAACTTGATTTGTGAGTGTCTCTTAATAATCTGCTCATACACTTACAAATGTTTTTAAAAGGAAACTGCTCAATGCTTATTATGGTATTTAAAAGCAAACACATCACTTCCTTTTTTCTTTCTCTCTCTTTTTTTTTTTTTTTTTAAATGGAACATCTCTATCAATACTAAAATGCGTATTTGGGTTGCTTCAACACCTCCATTTCCAGGGAGCACCACACTACATTATAACAATCCTGTTGTATTTGAATACATGCATGTGCTGAAGGTATCTCATACATCTCAGAACACCATAAAAGCAGGTCCCTACCTCTGAGGCCCCACAGTACTGGCTGCCTTCCATGCTCCATCATCCACTTAGCCTTTCTAATTCTGTGTCCCCTATGCTTCCTTCTCCTCACTCTCCAGCATGGACTTTGTCAAGGTAACCAATATGCCCCACAGAAGCAATGGAGTAAGTATTAGAGTTGCAGACTTGGCTAAGTCAAAACTGACAGAAGAAGGGAAGTCCATACCTGCTTAGCAAGCACTTTCATGTGAGCAACACTTCCTCGGCAGTAAGCTTCAAGTATCAAACCAAACTGCACTGAGACAGCAGGTATGTGCACCTCTGACCTGTAAGGAGAAAGGCTCCTCATCAGACCACAGCATTTACAGAGCTGAATTCAAGTCATTAAAAACAAAACAAAACAACTCTCACAAAAAACAAAGATGACTTCATGGTCATGTACAGCTTTATCCACACTTGTTATCCACAAAGCACTTCTGTGCTGGAGACACTGAGGACTGGCTAGTTTCAATGCACACCACTTGTTTCAAGGTCCAGGACTGCTCCAGAGACAGCAACATCAATGGTAAGAAGTACAGATGGAAAACCTGTTTCAGGACCCCCTTTTATTCAGAGTAGTACTGATGAGTCACAGAAGATGATACTGACAACCAGGGCTGATGTTAAACCACGTGCTCTCAAATCTTTGTAAGGGAAAAGCCCAAACTTGCCTGAGGAGGAACACTTTGAAACAAACTACTGAACCTTATACCTTATCCTCCAAAACATTTTCATGCAGAACTTGCTCTTTTTAGTTAGAAAAATTGAAATAAAATGTACTTTGAAAACAGAATCAACCTATAGTCCATTCTGTGAAGCTTCTACCATTCACAAAACAGCTCCTCAAAAGTAGCAGGACACATACAACTGGTTTTATTTTCTGTTAACTTACAACAATAATAGAAATTTTTCCCAACTGTGAAGTATAAATATTGTGCTTTTACTGCACACACAGCCAAAACAAACCCTAAAGGCATATACAAACCTAACTTATCAGGTAGTCAGAGCTGAATGCAGTTTGGAATACTTTCATCATAAGTTAGATAACAAACATATTTTTAATGATAGGTTTGCTCTGATCTATAAATGCCAAAGATAAAGAAACCTAAAGAGGACTTGTAGGACACTATGATAATGGCTCGTTTAGAAAAACTCTCAAGAAATCATATTTGAAAGTTCAATCAGGCTCAAAAGTTTCAGAAAGACAAAAGAAAAAACTCCTACCTCAGATGCCAGAACAACATCTGCCCTATTCTCCTATTGGCAAGAGCTCTTTCCAAGAGAAATCTGGAGAGTGCACAATCCAGGAAAGGTTCATACTTCAGAACTTGCACAAGTTGGAGAAGATACTGAGAGAGCTCTTCGTCACTAGAACGAGGTACATAAAAGTAGTTAATAACAGAGTACCTAGGTTAATGACACTCAAGCAATTCAGATGCACATGACAAATGCAACAATGACAGATTTGTTTCAATAGCAAGAGTGTTCCCCAATTTTTCAGTCACATGGAGAAGGACAATACACAACTTGGTGGAATTGCCAGATGGAAATAATTCCAGATGTAACAATTTGGTATTATTAGGACAGCCCAGAGCTAAACTGCTTGTGTGCATTTGAAAGGAGTCAAAATAATACTTTTTCTTTTTACCCCAAAAGTCTAGCCTTGACCATTAAAAAACATTAATCATTAAACTGTTCCCCACAGAGAATTCAGAATTCAAGGACAGGAAATAAGCAGTAAAGATAATATTACACAAATCTTGCCCTAGGTTACAGTGAAGAGCAAAATGCTATGCAATAAAGGAAGAACTGCAGAGAGCGAAGGCTACTGTGAAGAACAAACAAATCTGTAATTCATTATTGATTGTATGCTACAGCTTATATTTCTATTAAGTGATACAGCCAATCCCTGACACAGAGTGTGAGGTGGCTGGATATCAGGTTTTAAAGTATTTGACTACTGTAATAATTCTCCCTTTGTTATCAAAAAGTTCACACAGTATCTTGCCCTCCCTTTGTCCAAGAAAGGGATGAACACACAACCCTCTCTGGGACAAAGGTACCCTGGTGTTCTCTTTGCAACATGGAAAACAACCACCATTGAATACAAGATGTCAGAATGAGGTGGTTTTATTTGGCTGCTCATGTGCCTATCTAGAAATGAAACTGCTTTATTTGGCCATCTATTCATGGTAGACAATGTGTTTAACTCTTTCCTCTTCAGCTTATTTTTTCCCTGTAAACAAACAGAATGCAATTTTCCACCCCAGAAATCCTCATGTGCTGAAGTAATACAACATACTCACCTCATCTGCTTTAAACAACCCACTGCATATTCTCTGACATACTGGTCTGGGTAATTGAAATCCAACAGCTCTAAAGCTTCTCTGGGCAGCAGCTTGGGCCATATCTGCAGGAGAGCCTGAAGCTGTTTTAAAAAGATAACTATTAAGTAACAGGTAAAGTAACTATTTAAGAACTCAGATGGGTATAACTGCCCGTAAAAATACTCATACTAACAGAGGACGGTTACCAATGCTATGGGGAGTGGGTGGAAAGGAGATGAATAATTTGGGGTAACTGAGCCTACTTCTGATCAAAGAGGCCCAGTTTCTTACCCCTTAAAATGATCCAGATTGTATTTAGTCTGAAAACCTGACTGAAATACCTGTGAAAAACCTGCAAATACTGGTATGAACACATGCACTATTCATAAAGATATAAGGTAAAACTACAGGTATTTTTAAACACAGATGACATATTCCCACAGAAAAAATCCACTCAAAAATCTAATCAATCCATAGCCCATCCAAGGTCAATGATACCCAGGACTGCAGGCCCCAGCACTTACACAGTATGAACACTGGCACCAAAACTCTGAAAGAAACACTAACGTTGATCACATTCTTAACACACAAGACAGATACAGAACAAGGAGCAGCAGCTGTGCTTGTCAGACAGGCAGGAACAAACTTCAGAACAGAATTATCAGAATTTCTGTACAACCTGCTTTAGATCAGGTGCAGAACCAACAAAAATATAGAAATAATTTGTTTATACTGAATGACTGAAATGAATGGAGAACCTGAAATAGTCTGACAAGTCCAAGTGGCCCTACATGTCCCATGTATGAAGAAACAAGTTGTGAAAGTCATAGTGTGCATTTACTGTGCAGTTTATTTGCAGATCCAGACCTCCTCACTTTGCTGAGATCATCTCAGAGATTATTACAATGACAAAATGTTAAGTGACACAAGGTTAGAGGAAACAAGGTCTAAATAACCTATGAAACAGCCAAGAAAGTTCTCCAAATACCTACAGCTCTGTTCACTTTCTGCCTTGGAACTTTATCAAGAGAGAAATGCAGTCCAACCAGCTCCACATCCCAGGTGAGCCGCTCGCTACTCAGAAGTGCAGGTGAAAGGAGACACCAGCACTTGTTGCACTTGGACCAAAGAAAGCTTGCACCATGAAATGCCCTCACCTGCTTTGGCAGTACAAATACTGCAACCTACAGCTAGTACTATAAATATTTAATTTAATGAGAGGCAAATCATGAGTCCTGTTAATTTTGGAATTCATAAAACTGATGAGGCTGTTTTGCCTTACCTGAAAAGGTAAGTAATTGGGAGTACTTATGTGTCTACATACTATTTGGCATGTTCAGGGATAAGATCTCATTTTTCAGACAGACTATCCTTGCTGCCAAAACCAATATCACAAAATAAACCACACTATTGTCTATATATAAGCAAATATAAATACTACATTCCTTCCAGAATGTACACAGTAACAAGATGACCATGTATTTTTTCACCCATCTGTTTAAATAAAATGCTTTAGACAGATTTAATATCTAATACTCCCAAATTTAAAGGATTTTGAGCTGCCAGCTAATACCCATATTCCAAATAACTTTTCAGAACTCTGCTACCATGGGCAGCATTTCAAAGCCCTTAGCAATCAGAATGCCTTTTCCTTCATATATTTTACTGATAAAACAAGCACCTGCTTATATTTCCACAGTTTGTATTTCTTCCAGATAACTCTTGGTAATGAACAATAAGTTCAGAAGCACATAATGGAAATACAAATGAGCAAGGAACATGTGGGTTCTCCATTTTGTTAGTGGATGTTCATAACATGAACAATGAGCTAGGATGAAACTCCATTTAGTATAAGAAGTTCATAGGACATATACATCTAGCTGGTGGGAAGGATGTAGCAGAAAATAAACTCTAGGCTGGAGGCAAACTAAAATTCTGACTGAATGGATCATCACAAAAATCACATGATGAATAAACAGAAGATGAGTTTTCATGAAGTGGTTTCCTTTTCTTCCAACAACACCTAGCCTGGAACAGCTTAAGGTCAGAATACTAATGTAGAATATAAATTTGTACTATCAATCATAATTCTTCACAGCAAATGCTTTTTAGCTCTATTATTTTAAGATGGAGAAAAAGTTTAAAACTTTAAAAATGACACTCATGGAAAAAGACATAAATATTATATCTCAGTGCAACCATGTGGAAGAAGTTGAGAGCCATTTAAATATGAATTCTGTCAGGACAAGCAGATGACCAGAACAAGGTCTGGTCATCCATGGACCAGGTGCTGTGCTTGCTAACTTCGGGCAGACTTTTAGTTTGGCCCAAAATAATCTGTATACAATCAGACTAAAAAGTTTCAATACCAATCCAGAAATCTGTTATTTTATTACTTTTAAATCAGTCTGTCAAGCAG